GGCTAAAATCCTATGACGCGCATGTACTTCTAGTAAAAAATCAAGGTATCGAATCCGCTCAACAATTAAACATAATATTACACATTTATTATTGCTATAATGCTATTAAAACTATTACAACAACGCTAGCAGCTGCAGGCTGCACTCATGCCGATGCCGTTATCAGTTTTCCAAGGAATTATATTGTTGTTAGTATAAAAATAGATTTGAGAGAATATTCTAAAATAAACTTTGGAGAAATCTCCACCAAATCACAAGAAAAAAACATTTTACATAATTCTAAAGTTATGTTGGCTTAATAATAAAAAAAATTTACCGCCCCAAAATACTACCAGGAGGGGCAAAGGCCCACCCTGCCACCCCTAAATACGGGCCTGGTCATTTAGATAATAATATTTGGTGGTCGTCAAAAATTACCAATCTTGTTAATTTGGACAAACAGATAATGTTATATAATAATTGAGTTCAAATTTTGAGTAGGTACTAGAGCTCTCTATTTCACGTGTACACGCGGTCACGTATTCACGTGAAATTAACATCCGAATATATAAAACCGTGTATTTAAAAAATCCGTGTACACGTGTAATTATTCACGTGTACACGAATATTYACGTATTCACGTATACACGTAATCAYGTATCTTAGTGTTCTAATACATACGTACTTTATTATTAGCCATGCAATTTACTTATAAAGATATAMAAAATCTATAGAGACAATTTAACAAAAGCATTTTGTATATTTAAAACAACGATTTTCAAACAAACTAAAAACAAAAATAATGTAGAATGATTAATTAAATTAAACATGCAAATAAGAATGATTTCAAACTTGAATAATTCAATGAATTTCTTAATTGTTACAAAATAATTCGATTTATCACAAGATTAAGGATTAATTATAATAGTATATATTGATAAATTATAGAAAATGTATTCATAATAATGACGAAATTTTTATGAATATAAAAAAATAACAATTTATAAATAATTAAGTATGACAATAATATAAATAATAATAATATTATGGTATTAAATTTCGATTTTGGTATAAGAAAACCAATAAATTAACATKTTTTGTTAATAATGATGTTCTTTTTGAATTTACCACGTTACCAGCTGTGGAAAAACATCGTTCGGAACTCACTGATGTAGCGGGTATTGATAAATATTTTTTTRCCAGTATTCCGATTYYTGGATATTTATCTTCTCTAGATTTCCACCAATCAAATGGATTCAAATCGAACTTTAATTGAGGTTCAGCTAAATAATTTTGAAACTAGGTCGTCAAATCGTTGACTTCAGTAACATCATCACCGTAGAGGAACTCGAGTGCACTTTTATGAAGTGATGGTTCGCGTCGTGTATTTACATTATGTGCATCAATTTCAATATTATTTAATAAATTGATAACGGATGATCGAATGCTTTCTCGTGCAATTATGGGTTCATGATCCAAATTTTTATATCTTGGATCCAAGAATGACGCGATTTGTCGAGCAGAAACTCTGCTTTCTGAATCCCACTCAAGATTAAAGCGTTCTTTAATATCAGAAATAATAGTTTGCTTAAAATAAGTTATACTTTGGTCGTCATTATCCTGTAGCTTTAAATGGTTGTCTAACAATTTTTTGAGCAATGGCCTTACGATTGAAGTCGGTGAATGATTTTCTCCACATAGAAGCGACGTAATAACTTTCAATGGCTTTAGAAGAATGACAAGAGTTTCTATTTTTAACCATTGATGCTCTAAGATTTCTAATTTTTGGGCTATGTGTGTGGAAGTTATAGATCGATCAGCCATCACAGCAGAAATTGGACACCTGTTTTCAAAAATACGTTCCAGCATTGAGTAGATTGAATTCCATCGTGTCTTACAACTTTGCAATAAAGACTGTTCAGGCATACCTAATTGTTT